GAACTAGTGATCCTCCTGCCTCGAACTAGTGATCCTCCTGCCTCAGCCTCCCAAGTGCTGGGGTTACAGGCATGCATCACCATGCCTGACAAGTCTAGTACTTATTAGTTGTATAGTGAACCTTATAAATTATACATTGGAGGAAATATAAATCCTTTTATTCTGATTAAAGTACTAGCTGGTCACTGTTACCTTCTAGAGGCTTGGTTTTACACTTGATAAGCCAGATGTGTTTTGGTTTTGCCCATAATTCTAAAGCAGATCTCTTAGTACTAAAACATAGTCCTTAGTCTCAACTCATGGTTTTTCTCAGCTTTGGTGGAAACTTGAACTGCTACTGTGTGTCCCTCTGATGTGAATGGAATCAGATTCCAAACTCTGACTCCTCTCATGGGCAGTGACTGGAATCTGCTTAGGTCTTTCAGTCAGGAGCCCTCTCCTGACTACATAAATTGGGTGTCTGCCAGGAAATGAGGAGCTGTCTGCCTGCCCTCTCTCTGTTTGTTTCAAGGCTCCTGCTGCCCTGCTGTCTCTCCTTCCTGGGAGCTCTGTTCTCAGTTCCCAGTCACTGTGGTAGCCGAGCCCTGTCCTGGGTATCTCGAGCCAGCAGACTTCGACTTCCTGGTCCGGTTCTAGTCCCCCCACACCAAGTGGGCTGGTGAGTGCTTCTAGGGGAGAGACATAAACACACATAACATCTTGGTCCCTATGGTTCTTTTTCAAGATGAATCTGCTCAACCTCAAGTTTCTCCCTACTTTAAGTCACTCTCCAGTGCCTTCATATAGTTGTAAAATATTTTTTCTGTAGTTTCAGGTACCTAAATGTTTCTGTCTTTATTGGAACCATACTTCTTTGACATAAAGTTTCATTTTATTCAGTAAATACTGATTACTTCATAGATACCATTTTTTGAGACAAGGTCTCACTGGCTGATCTTGAGTTCACTGTGTGTAGCCCCAGGCTGGCCTCATGGCAGTCCTCCTGCCTCAGCCTCCCAAGTGCTGGGATTACAGGCATGCTCCACCACATTTAGCTATAAATGTCTTTTTAAAACATAGCTTTATTAAAAAACATTTGTGTTGTATGTGTGGATGCACTAAATGTTTGTGGTATTGGTCATTGAAGAAGAAATGTGGAGTTATGAGCCAGGTGTTCGTCCGTAGTCCTTATCTGTAGACCAAATTCACAATGCTCTAACTTCCTTTTTAGAGGGAGGGTCCCAGAAATCTAGCTCAGGACCTCACACTTGCCAGGCAGGCACTGTGCCACTGAGCTAAACCTTGGGCCCCTAATTTATTTTTAGCATGTGTTGAAATAATTTGACCTTAAATGATAAAGAATAAAGCTGTCCGGTGGATAAATTTTTAAAGTTTAACTTGTGTAAAAGAAAATCTAATTTTATAGTATTGGCAGTGGCTATATACCTCCAATATTCCTTTCATTTAAAAACTAGTTTACCTGTTTTCATTCCAAAGAATGATAGTTGGCCAAAAACTTCTGTACGTATCTATATATCTGTGCTAATATAAACAAACAAGTGTGTAAATAAGTGGGAGGAACATCACAACTCCTCTTACAGAAGAATTCCATTAGTGCAGAAGGAAGGAGAAACTTTAAAACTTCACTATTAGAACTTGATAGTAAAAATTACCATAGGCAGCATCTACCAGTGGATAATAGAATTAGCGAAGATTGATGTAGAACAGTAGAACCAAGTTTCCCCTGATGTGCTTACACTTAGTAACTCCTAAAGAAAAGTTTACAGTGGAGACTCATGGTGGGCAGGATCTTAACCAAGTGACCAAGGCTGTCATCACCGGAAACAGCAGTGCGCCTCCCGCTGTATTGCGTTGAGAAGGGTGCCGCCGCCGTAGTGTCCTCAGTAATGACCTTAGTCTGGTCATGAGAAAACTCAGGTTTCTGAGGGAGATGCTCTGGATTAACTAGTCAGTGCTTTTCCAAAAGAGTCCCTCTTCAAAGGCAAGGAAGGACTGAGGAATTGTCCAAGACTGGAGGGGAGTAAGGAGATGTAACAGATAGATGGAAGTGTGTGTCTCTGAGTCAGTTCCTGAACAGCAGAGGGACTTTAGAGGAGCTCCTGGTAAAACCTGAATGAGGTCTGTATTGATATTGTACCACCTTAGTGTGTTAGTTTTGATAAATGTCCTGGAAGATGTTAGCCTAGGTGGAAGCTGGGTGAAGGGTGTGTAGGAACTCCACTATTTTGCAACTGTTCTCTACATCTAAAACTACCTTACAAGTTTTAAAAAGGATTTGTTATTTGCTGTTTGTTTATTTGTGAGTGACAGGGTCTCACTCGGTAGCCCAGGCTCACGTCGAGCTCTCAGCAGTCATCCTTTATTATTGGTTATGAAGCACCCCCCAGAAAAGGAGAAAACCTTGGTTATGAGATTGTTCTGTGGATTAAGACTCTTCTCCTTAATTCCAAAACAAATATTTTTCTGCAACCCTGTTCCCTGGATGAGCAGTACTAACATCAACTAGGGACTTTTTAAAAATGCAAATTAGCTGGGTGTGATGGCACATGCCTGTAACGTCAGCTGCTCTTTAAGGCTGAAACAGGTGCAAGTTCAAGACCAGCCTGGACAATCTAAGCAAGACCTTCTCTCAAAATACAAATAGGCTGCTGATGTTGCTCAGTGATAGAGCACTTACCTAACATGCAGGAGGCCCTGGATTGAATCTCAGATTCTTAAAAAGCAGCAAAACCTCAGAAGGTCTGGAAGGGAACCTAGAAATCTGCATCTTAGCAGCCCTCCAGGTGATCCTGAGGCAAACTAAAGTTTGAGAACCATGATTTATACCACCTGTAAAAGTTTAATCCCAGCACTCTGGGAGGCTGAGGCAGGAGGGTCACAAGTTCAGCCAGACTTGGCAGCATAATGACTTATTGGGAGCCTGTCTCAAAATAACACAAAGGACCAGGACACAGCTCAGGGGAAGGGCCTTGGATTTAATTTTCAGCACTCCAAAAAGAAAGGTTGATTGATTTCACTTTTCTAACATATTGGCTAGTGATTCAATTCATTCTGTAAAGTATGAATGTAGCATGACCAATGTTTTTGATTCATTTCATCTAGTTCTATTTAAATCATCTCTTATACAAGTTACCAGGTGTTCTTAGAGATGCTTTTAAGATCTGAGTAAGTATTGGTTAATCTTTTTAAAAAGTCGTTTCACAGTTTTGGCTTAAACCCTTTTTCTTGTTAACTCAAAAGCAAAGTTTAATATATTTGTATCAAGATTCTTTTTTTTTTATTTTAGAGTAAAAGAAGGATAACATAATAATAGGGGGGACTTAGCAAATTGCAGACAAAATGGTAGGAAATTATCAATGGTTATCGTTTTACATATTGTTATCTACAAAATAGTTTCTCAGGAAAACAAATAGACAAATAATAGTGAGTTAGAGACAAAAGAGGTAGGAGATTATCAAGAGTTGATGTACTATACTTTGGTATCTTCAAAGTGGCTTCTAAAGAAAATAAATAGAGCTATACATGAGTGACCTATTGAAAAATCATTAACTATTCTCAATGGTTGTTGTAGGAAACACATAATAATAAACATACATCCATTTATGAAATAGGATAGGAACATTACAAACTTTACACAGTTATGGATAGATTAGTAGGAAAATATCAATGGCTGCTGTAGTACATGGTGGTATCTTCAAAGTGGTTTCTCAGGAAGACAGAGATATGCAAGAAGGATCTAATAAGTAGTTACAGCCTAAGGGTTGTCAAAAACAGCATATTACCTCCTCACCAGTGACTCCTTTCACTGAGGTATGATGGCTGGAAGGAAGGCCAGGATTGAAAAGAAGGACCGAGAGACTTGCACCTGTGTCTAGCAACAGGCTGTTTTCTTGTTCCTCCATAGTCATGATTACCCAGGACTCCTCGATGGAGATGACGGTCTGGCCAGAGGGAGAAGACAAACCATGCCCCAAGCCCTCTCATTCCTGTTGGAGTAACTGGTAGCATGGGTCTGAGCTCTGGGGCCTCCACCTCAGAGGGCAGACCGATCTCCAGTGGTCTCCTTTGCATCCAGGGCATGGCCCATGGGGCCTCTTAGGGCAGTTCCTCTTGAGGTGGCCTGGCTTTTAACAGTGGTAGCAGATGAATGCAGTTGTCGAGTTCTTCTTGGAGCCCCGGGAATCAGACCTGGGATCTGTTTCTCTTAGTGGTGCAGCAAAAGCAGCTGCTTTTTCTCGGTCTCTTTGTTTTCTCTCCTTGGCCTCCTCCTCATCATGGCTATAGAATACTGAGGAGGCAATTCTTACTAACATCTCAAGTGAGCTATCTGGGGTGAAAGCCATTCTGTATCAAGATTCTTTCAGAAGATTTCATGATTTGCTGTAGAATTTTTTTTTTCTGGATAATTTGAAAAATTTAGCCATTGTTCTGCATAAGAAATGTAACCTCTCACACTTTTCATGATTTTGTTGTTTCCAGTGCTAGGTATTGAACCCATCTTTTCAGGTCTTGATGTTTCTCAGGGTTTAGAAGAAAAAACAATAAAAATAACCCTCATCTGAGGACAGTAATTGTTACCTTAAACAGAACTAAGTTCTTAAAATTTGCACTTAGAAGATGCTCCATAACCAGTGCCCCACCTTCCACACACACATGTCATTAGCTTTGTGGGTCTTCTCTTTGCTTCCTCCTCCTCTTCCTTTTCTTGGAGACAGGGTCTCGCTATGCAGTGCAGGCTGGCCTTGACCTCAGTTTGTAGCCCAGGCTGGCCTGGAACTCGCTGCAGTCCTCCTGTCTCAGCCTCCGAATGCTGGGATTGCAGGTGTGTGTCCCCATGTCTGACTTGCTTCCTCCTTTCTACTTTGTCTTTTATGTCTCATAAATCTAGAGTTTACAAATATTTGTGTATTGATTTTGAGAAATAGAGCTAAATTTGACAATTATATGTGGCAGTTTTTCAATGTCTCAATTCTGAATATTTCTAAAAATTCTCTTTATAGACATACAACAGCTGTGCCAGACTCTGCTTAAACCAAGAAACAGTATGTCTAGCAGGTACTGCTATGAAGACTGAAAATTGTGTGGCCAAAGTAAGTAATATTATTCACCAGTAAGTGTTATACCACATCATAACAATGTGAGGTCTGTAGGCATCTTCCTCAGTATTGCAACAAAATTACAGAAAAGAATACAGTTTCCATTTTATCCAGAGCATATTGGACACTGGAATTTTCTTAAGACCCTTCATGGTTTTTAAATGTGATTAAATATAGAGTGTCAGCAACGTATCAATACAAAAGTGTGGAGGACAGCACTGCACAGCTGTGAAATATGCTGAAACGCAGCTGTTGTGTCACTAGTACTCACTGAGTGGCTAATGTTAGAGATACTTCTTTAGATGACCTCGAGCTGAAAGGACAAGTATGTAGTCGTGCATGTGGGCCACGTTGTCGTGTATAAATATGTGCCATGTCTACAGCCTAGTACACAAATAATTTTAAGTACTAGAGGTGTGAAGCTTGTCCAGTCAACTCTGACTCAAATTTTCCAAGTATCTCCACTCAGGAACTTGGACATGAATTCAAGTGTGTGCCATTTTGATTGTCACAGGAGTGATAACTCAGCAGGGGCTCAACTTCTAGACTTTTACTTATCTGCAAAAATAAAACTTTATTAACATTTTGGCAATTCGTCACTGTTAAAACTGTCCCAACTTTGTTTTAATCTATTGTCTGGTACATACAGGACCTCAGTTACTTACTGTTGTTACTCTAACAATAGAGACAGGACTGGTGTCATGTAGTCTTCATCTTTGCTACAAAACTGTAGGACAACTGTCTTCATCTTTTCAGATTGCTATAACAAAAATCCCACAGACCAGTTGTCTTATAAACAGCAGTACTCTTAGTTTACAGTAATTTCTAGTTCTTATAAACAACAATAATTTTATAGTTCCAAGGGCTGGGAAGTCCAGGATCAGCATGCTAATAGATTTGGTATCTAGAGAGAGTTTGCTCTGCTTCTAGATGGAGCTTCTTGTTGCACCCTCACAAGACGGGACGGACTAGCCAAGTGGGGGTCGTCAGCCCTGCTTGAGGACACTAAGCCTATTTATGAAGGCTCTGGCCTTAAGAATCTCAGGGGAATTCAAACACACAAGCTACAGCAACAGCAATATTTTTTCTTATTTTCGTTTCTTAAAACATGCAGGAGTCTCTGGGCCCACTTTATTCACTGGAAACATAAAAAATATGGGATGATCCACGTAAGAAATGCTAGAATTTACTATTATAAAAAGTAGAGTCCATCAGTGTCTTAAATTCAGATCTTAATCATTGACTGCAGAATATTTCATGTTTTTGAGTCATTTAGTCAAAACTAGCGAGTGCTAATTGACCTTGTTTTTTAAACAGTTGTATCTTTATTAGTACATGTTTGCATACGTTATGATTACATTCATCCTGGGAAGTCTGTACATGTATGTAACACATCTTTATTCTTTTGACGTTCCCTAACTCTCCCGTTGGCCCTGTGGTATACACAGCATTTGTGTATGGATATATGGGTGCAATTTCGACCTTTTTGTGAGCCATCGTGCTGTCACTTTCATCACAAGCGGTGACTTCTGGCTAAACAAGGCAAAATCTTAGCATGCACACCAACCTAAGGACAGAATGACAATTTTAATGAGTTTTATTGAGAGCTGGCCAAGTGAGCATCTGTTCCTTTTGTTTTCCCACACTTCGTAAGCCAGGATCGCTAAAAGTTACGTTGGTGTGTGTCTCTGTGGTGTGGGGTTGTTTGGGTTTTTCTCCCGCCCTCTACTTCAGTGGCCTGTAGTTAGAAATGTACTGGCATCTGGCACAGTGTGAGATTGTTTCCATGCTCTGGGGTGAGGAAGTAAGTTTGCTCATTGTTACTCATCAGTCTATTTCACTTGCTCCCAAGAGGTGACCCTCTCATCACATTCTTGCTTATTTTAGCATTAGTCTGATACCTACTTCTTTTGTTTTTCTCTTTATTAATGATTTCCATAATTACTGGTGGAATCCACCTAGCTTCTGGTTTCTTACTGGCCTACTTCCTGTCTTTTGGTTTATTGCTTTCAGATTTGAACCAAGTGATCAGTTGACCAATGGTAAATCAAAATATGTAGTCAGAAAATTACTTATTTAAACAGCTTCCCATGAGATACCAAAAGCATGGGAATAGTGAAAGGGTTTTCTTTTTTTATTTACATGTGTTATATGTATCTTGTGATTTTGTTGTACTGTTTTTCTTGGCCTTTTTATTACTTAACCTTTGAAAGAAATGATTTGCCATTATTTTTGTAGGTCTGCAAACTTGCACCTGTTTCTTGTACTTCCCCTTCAACCGCTTAACTGAATAATTTCATTTGCTACATTGATAGGGCTGCAGTGACTTTTTTTCTAAAACTTGGTACAAGTGTCTTTTGTTGATTCAGATTGTGCTCTAGTGTAGTCTGAAAGTCTAGCCTTCTTCACATGAGAACAACTGTAAAATAATGATGTTAACTTTTTCATCCTGTAGTTCAAAGCGACAGAATTCTGATTAGAATGATTTTTATTTGTATATAGATACTTATAATCCAAAACCTTAGTGTTGAATTTTGTTTATATGAGTGTTAGAGAAGCTGTTAATACTGATTATTTTCTTAAACACAGAAGACTTCTATTTGGACCTTTATGTGATGTGTAACTCTCCTTTGCCAGGAATACTAATCTTGCTAGTCCTCTTCAGAATATAAGAAAATAAAGTGTAAGACAAACCATAGCTACTCTAGGTTGACAGTAATCTGAATCTTTAACTTGAAGAAAGAGGCCTATTTCATAGAAATAAAAACAAGGAGGCGTCATTTTATCAGTATAACTTAATCCAGGTAATATATAGACGGACGCAATTTTTTTTTCTCCAGAAGGCTTTCTCCTTATTATAGCCCTATAGTTTATGAGATCTGTGTTTGGGGCATGATGAGGTCTATATTTATTGTAGCTTTAAATGGGCAGTCATTATTGACTTAGTCTTTAAAATATCAATTTAGTCTTTAAAATCCATAATCTCCTTGTACCTAATTGTCAACCTTCCTGGTGTTTTGTTCTTTTTTATAAAGAAAATAACTGGAAAACTGAAGAACAGAAATAATTTTTTATGTTCTCTTTTTTATTGACTCTTTGAAGTACTGCTGAAATTTTAGTTTTAGGCTCTTCTGAAGTTTACCTGTATGCATACACACACACATACCCACACACATACACAGTTAGAATTGAGTTGTTTGAGTACATCTACCGTGATTCCTAGGCTGGACAGAAGGTCTGACTCTTTATGTGTGGAAAGAGAAACCTTGTCATTAGACCTGTGTAGATACTCTATTTTTTGTTGTTTGTTGTTACTGTTTTTTACTTGAGACTAATAATCTGTTTGAAACTGACTGAGACAGAAAAATGTGATGCTGCTTCCACTTACTCCAGATTTTGATAGAAGACTTGTTTTATTTATTTCCAAAATTATATCCGCAGGAAACAAGCTGTTTAAATTCAGATTATGCTGAAGCAAAATGGTCCTGGTATGAGAAGCAACGTGCTGTTTTACGAGCACAGAGTCCCTTTTCTCATAACTGATTGATAGTAAATATTTTCCTGAAGAATTATTGCCAACCATGAACAGTGCAACTGTTTCACTTTTTTTCTGTGCTACTTGCTGTACCAGCCATTGTCGGTAATTAAGATCTACAATTCACAATGCAGACGTTTGCACTTCCTCTGGGTCTGTGCTATTTATAAGGCATTTCAGCTGTTCAGAGTTTCTTTTGAGTTTTAAACTACGTGTTAACAGGCTTCTTTAATATACTGTTCCACAAGTAGCTTGTCAGATGGTCTGTTCTTCACACAGGCACCTCTGTCAGGTCTGCACATGATCTTTGTGGGGAACATTGTAAGATTTAACCATATCAGAGAGGCCAGTGTGCTTGAGAAAGCTCTAGAATGTAACATGTTATACATTACGCTCATTGCTGTTTGAAGAAAGCAGGAATGAAGTTCAGAAATAAAATTTTTTCTTATTTCATCTTTAAATGTTCAAATGAATTAAATGTTAATTGGATTACAGAGGTTTTGAGAAACACGCTATTAAGTGATTGCCAAGGTGACTTTAAATTAAAAGATGCATAGATTCCTCTTAAAGACAAGAGTATGTATTTGTCAAATTAAGGATGTAAAAACACATTCACTTCTAGATGTGCATGGTTTTTTGTTTTTTTTTTTTGTATGTGTGCATGGTTTTTAATAATACAGACATGGGGCACCAACATGGGCCAGCAGATTGATGGCTCATTTGTTGTATAACCAGCTGCAGGTGCCCTAAGAAGCGTATGCCAATGGTAAGGAAAGTGCAAAGGAGGGTCCTCAGTCTGCATTAAAACAGGTAAAATTTCAAACCATTTTCAACCCAGAAGAGAACTTAATTTTTCGTTTTTGTTTTGAAGAGCTGGGGATATGGCTTAGTAGCGGAGCACTAGCATGTGAAAGTCCCTCAGTTTGATCCCCAGTACCACCACCACCTCCTAAAAGAACCCAGGCCCCAGCCCAGAATCTTCATGAATTATGCCCTAGAATTAGAGTAACGGCTTACACAGTCTCCGTGCTCCCAGCACCCATTGTTAAACATACCAGAAAAAGAAATGAGAAACTGAAAGCTGTCAACAAAACATGGTGAAAACTGCCACAAGTGGAAATCACACCGGCTGCTGTAAGCCCGAAGCCCAGCTGTATTGATCGTGCACGTCGGCCGCTAGCATCTTCCAGCAGGCAGATCTGTGCAGAAAGGCAGGACACAGTCTCCGTGCTGACTCTGGATAGCTCTTGAATGTAGGCAGAGCTTTTAACAAAGCCAGTCCAAGGCAGTTTTACTTGACAAAACCTAAAACTTTCTGCAGTTCTTTTGAACTGCTGTGTTTCTGTAAACTTCTCTATCTCGGTGAACTCTTTATGAACCTTTTTTTAGATAGCAGCTGAGGTTCAGCTGTTGAGAACCACTGATCTGTCAGACTGAGACGCTTCAGTATGCTAGAACC